CTACTAACTTCCATTAAATTCTGATATCAGGGGTATGCATGAAATGTTTTGTTCTGAACCTAAAAGAAACACACTGCATTACAGTAATTCAGCCAAACCATTCTGGGTGGACCAAGGTTTGGAAGAAATTAAATCCAAAGGTTTTGTTTGTTTGTTTGTTTGTTTGTTTTAGCCAAAAGAAAATCTGCAGAGATCTCAGAGTGATAAGCCAAGTAGGACAAGGGTAGTGCATGTCACTCCCTCTCCCAGGCCAGCATATCCCATTGGCCCCATGATCTTCTCTTCCCTTTCCTTAGCCACTGATTTTCTTGACTTCTTCCCCACTCTTAACCCTCCCATCCCCAAATACTTTGGTCTGGAAGAACCACGCTTTGCTCTGGAAGAATCATGTTTTGCTATGGAAGAACCACGTTTTGTTCCATCTCCAGAACAAAACATCATTCTGGATGGCTAAAATGCATGTTTGGGCCCAAACCTCCCAAAAGCACCTATTCCATGCACAGAGTGGTTGATGTAAAACCCTGTCTTCTTTGAAATTACAGTTCAGTCCATAAAAACTGGGGGATTCACTGCAGCACACCCTTCTCAATTCATGTCTTCAATATAAGAAGGAAATAGGGCTAACAAGATATTTTTCTTTAAACTTCATAAATTAAAAATGTTCTGTGTAACATTATTACTAATATTAATTGCCCGTTCTCTTCCCTAGCGACTTTCTTTCCTACCACCTTCCTTTCTTTGCAGCCAAGAGAAAAGCCGCTGCTTCTCCTAGAAAATACCTAAAGTTTGAAAGAAGGTTGTTTCCGCTATAGGACAGGAAGAAGTCTTAAGCCCTGACTTCTAGTCAGAAGAGGTAGAGTTAGTCTTTTCCATTCAATTCCCTCTTTGGTGACTGAGAAATGAATAGGAAAATCAATTCAGTTCCATTTCTTCCATCTACATTAGGGTTTTCTGAGTTCTAACATGCCAGACATAAATGTAATATTAAACTGCAAGATACTTTCCATTCTGTTAAACTTCTGCCAATCATGCATTAGATAACGTACATTTCCCAACAATTTTTTGAGTAATTGGTATATGTCAGACAATAATAACATTTAATTTAAAAAGTTTTCCTGGCTAGACTTGGTAAGGAAAACAAGCTGCCATGTTATTACCTAAAATATTTTCCACCACTAATCTTTCTTCCTGCCCAAGAAATACTAGCATCATAATTGTAAACTTTTAGGAAAAAATATATAACAGTGGCTCCAAGTCAGTTACAAGAACTTAAAGACCAAAACTATTTCTAATTGCTCTTATTGCTAGTTATTGATATGCTAGAAAAAGAAGGTGAAGTAATACAGATACAATTCAAACTACATTTAAATTCAATTTGATTTGAACCATTTAGCTTGAGTTTAAACACAACCTACACTTCTTAAACTATCACAAGTCAACCAATCTGAATAGGAGTCCATTCTCTCAAACTTTACTATATTAAAACTTCACCAGAATGTGGATTTCAGATAGAAAGAACCCATGAAACTTCTTTTTAATCAGAGTTTCAGGTTAGAAATGCTCACTATGACCAGATGGGCTACTCGTTTCAGAAGTTAAAAAAAAAAAAAGTTATAATTCTTACCTGCTATTCTCATGTTTATCCTCCCTCTGTTATTGACACAATTGCATTTAACCAGCTACCTGGAGAATAAGGGAAAACAGCTTTCAGTCAGAGCAGAATAAGCAAGGAGACGCTTTGATTAATCCATTCCTCTGAAAATGCCTGTGTTCTCCAAGCCTCAATGATAATAGCAATGATATCACAATCTCTGTACCTAAAATATAATTCTAACAAGTATTTAATTCTACCAAGGAAAGGAAAGACACTTCAAGGGTTAACTATGAACTTTTGCCTTTGATATACATTTTCATCCCACAAACAATGCGAGATGAAAATGTATTATTGTTTCATTTTTTGTGATATTAGGGAACATTAAAAATAGAAACTACAGGATATATAACCTTATAGATAGGACCAAAAACTCATTTAATTGAAAAAAAATTAACACACATACAGTATTATTTTATTTCTATCTCAGTGGAACTATGAATATGCACCATGGATTTCATTATATCACTCAGTTTCAAACTGAGGCACATGGTATAAATTAAAAAACAGCAAGTATCCTGTGTTCATTTTCACACAATCAGCTATCACTTCACCCAGGAAGAATAATAATTATACTAACCAAGAACTCAAGAAAATCCAAAGAATTGCATAACTAGTTCTGCAAACTAAAACTCTTTAATCAGCTTTCAGATCTCAAAGGTTTTCCAAAAACAATTTGGGAAATGCCACATGGCATACTTTAAAAAGACAAAAACCAAAAACCAACAGGGAGCCAATATGCCACTGAATGCCCACAACTCTTTGATTCATTATTTATACAGTACAGTAATTGTACTACCAGTTAGAAACAAGATAAAACTAAATGGCTTCAAGATAAAGACAGTTGTGCAACATTTGTGAATACTTTCTAAGTCAAGACATACAAGTTCAAAACCCAAGATGCATATACAGGTAGTCCCCAGGTTAAGAATGCCCGAGTTCCAGACAACCCATAGTTAAGGATGGAGCCTATTGTAGCAAAATTCAGGTTAAATACACAATGATTCAAGTTGAATACATAATGGTTCGAGTTCATTACACCATACTACTTACACTGTATTATACAATAATACTGTTTTGGCTTACATATGTATTCAACTT